CGGCCTGCGGTACAGAGAGACCCGGGTTCGGTTCCCGCTAAGGGCACGTACCTTGGTTGCAGTTTGTCCCCGGCCCTGGTTGGTCGTGCGGGTGGCAGCCACTCGATGTGTCCCTTCACATCTATGTTTCTCTCTCTCTCTCTTCCTCTCTCTCCCTCCCGCTCTATCTGAACAAAAAATGGAAAAATGTCCTCGGTTGAGGATTTAAAAAAAAAAAAAAAAAAAGAATGAAATTGGCCTACCTGCTATCATCAGAGTTACCCAAGGTTCAGAGTTCGAGATGATGGTTGGGGCATCTGTTCCTGGGCACCTTCAATCATCAGCCACAAGGCCAATCAGATCTAGGCCTGAATTGCCTGTTCTGCCAGCCAGAGGAAGGGATGAAGACTGACTCTGTGCAGTCTGACTTCCAGTGGGGTCCGCCACATTGAGGACCTGGCTTAGGCAGTGGTCGAGGATTGGGGCATTGCCTCACCCAAGGGCCAGTCTGATTGCATTTGAAGCAGGGACCTTGGGGGTCTGCTCTGCTGATCCTGGTGGGTGCCCTTCTTCTGTCCCCTGAAGAGGGTTTGCTGACCCCTTTGATTAGTGGGGCCTCTGATGGCAGAGGCAAGCATTGGAATTCTGCTATTCTTTGCTGTTTAGCCTCTTCATCGCGATTATTAAAAACCTTAGAGGCTAGCCCTGGTCAGTTTTGCTCAGTGGTTAGAGTATTGGCCCATGGACCAGAGAGACCCGGATTCGGTTCCCACTAAGGGCATGTACCTTGGTTGCAGTGAGTCCCCAGCCCTGGTTGGCGTTGTGTGGGTGGCAACCAGTCGATGTGTCTCTCTCACATCAATGTTTCTCTCTTTTCCTCCCTCTCTCCCTCCCACTCTATCTGAAGATAAATGTAAAAATGTCCTTGGGTGAGGATTAAAAAAAAACCTTAAAGGCTAGATTTAGAAGTTCCCATTGAGGGGTTTGAGGGCCATCTTTAAGTTTTTGTAACTTTCTCCTAATGCCTGGGGCTGACTGAGAGATGGATCTCAGGTTTAATATGGCAGTTCCTTCTGGGCTAGTGGGCTCTAAGCTAGTTTATTTTCTCAAAGCCTGTGTAAGTTGGGATAGAAAGGTTGCAGGTTTTCATTCCTTTCTTGGATTTTTTTCAGACAGTTTTTCATAGTTAACTGCCCTGTGTGAGGTGTCTTTAAGTCCCTCAATGAGACATATTACAATATGGTCCCTGGCTTTCCTACCCACCCCACTGTCCTGATCATTCTACCTGGGGTCCTGGCTAGGGACTGCTTCGGCTCTTACTGGGTTAATGGGGGCCTATCACCTCAGGTTATTGGCATGGCCCTAAGCATTAACCCAGACTCGATTTTTATCTTCCGGATTAAGGGTGGAAGAGAGAATAACAAGAATATCATTCCAAGATAGATCACAGGACTGGGTAAAGTACTTGAATTCCTGAGTATAATTGGTGGGATCCTCAATAAAGGATCCTAGTCTTTTATTTATTTGGGACAAATCTGAGAGAAGGGGACACAAACTCTGACAATCCCTTCAGCTTCTGCTACTTCCCTCAGGGGGCATTCTAAAATGGGGCCGAGGTAGGGGATGGATAGGGACCAAAGATGGTTCCCGATCGCGTATGTGAGGGAGTTGTTTGCTGCAGTAGAGGAGTTAGAGCCAGAGTAGGAGGTTCAGGGTAGGGTGAGGGCCCACAGAAGGGGTTGGAGGAGGAGGGGCTGAGGGAGGAGGCTGAGGAGCAAGATCAGCTGAGTCAAAGGAGGAAATAGGAGAAGTTAGCAAGCTGTCTTCAGAGGGAGGTTTGGGAGGATGAAGGCAGAATAGGAAGATTTGGGAGGGGGAGCAAGAATCGCATAAAGAGGGGTGTGATCTGAGTGCAAAGGGGCCTGGATGTGAGGAACCTCAGACCGTTTTCCTTGCCTTTGACAGAAATTGTCTAGGTTGGTGGACTGTCAAAAGTGCCGTTCTCGGGCTATTGTGACCCATTGTCTAATTTGTACTGAGGCCACTCAGTGTTGCAATAAAAAATGAGTCACGTGGGACATAAGTCCTGAGCGAGCCCTAAGGTCTGTAGATTTTTTAGGAGACATCCTAGGAGTGTTGTGCCATATTGCGGTATGAGATGTCATGGCCTAGCGGTCTGATGGATACAGTAGAGGAAGAAGAAGGCATCCCCCCTTCTCCGCTAGAGTAGAGAGACATGCAACTCACCTATATCAGGAGTCCCTAGCTATATGGTGAGCTGAGGGAACCTAGTTCCCAAGGAACATGTCCCAACCAGCGCTGGATTTCAAGAGGGGCGATCACATAGGCATGACCAAGAGACCTGGCTCTCATGTCCTGGACGGGGGATAACGAGACAGCCCGGAGAATCAGACTGGTAGGCAAAAAAAAATACTCACCAGTGAATTAGTGTCTGGTGTTGATGCTGGACCGGCAGGAAAGGTTGGAGGTCCGGTATCTATCTGGCTGAGGATGTGATTGATCCCAGTCCAACAGGAGGCCCAGAGGACTCTGGGGACCCGCGGTTGCCCCCTATGTGGGATCCTCACACACCTCCCGGGTTTCAGCACCAAATAAAAGGTCTGAGCTGGCGAGAGATCACATCCACAACACAAGGCCAGTGTAGAGCAAAACGGCTTTATTGTATGCGCCTGGGTGCAGGTGGGCTGAGCCGAAAAGGGTTCAGCATTGAATAAGGGTTGGGGTGTCGGTTGTATACCTTACTTCTAGCTTCCAGCAGTTCCTGCTGACATACTCTGCCTAGCCCATTGTCCTCTTTGCAACAGAACTGGCCTGGTATCTTGTCTGGCATCTGTTGGATTATCCCTTGCTTTATGGATAACCCAGATAATCCTTATCCATACTCAACAAAAGGCTGAGCAAAGGTCATGCAAGCAACACAATTTCCACAGTTTCTGCCTTTTGCAAACTTTTACCTTTACCCTTTAAAACGTTACTAACCCTTTCAGAAGCCATGAGTGTAGATGAAAACTCTCCAGGAGAAATCTGTAGAAGACCATTTGGGTTATAGCAATGGCAAAGGGCCAACTAAAAGGAGAGAGTCAACTGAGATTTAGAACAAAAAGACAGAAGCTTTTACTAATTCCCTTTCCCTCCCCAAAGGCATACAGAAGGGAATCAACTTTAAAAATTATAAAGTCCTGGCCAGTTTGGCTCAGCAGTTGAGCATCGGCCTGCGGACTAGATAGTCCCGGGTTCGGTTCCCGCTAGGGGCATGTACCACAAAAAAAAAAAAAAAAAATTACAAAGCTAATATTTATGGTTATCTTACTATATTCCAGTGGCAGGTCCAGAATTTCCAAATAGCTGGAGTTAGAGGAGTAATCTGTTTGAACGAGGGCTTGAAGATGCTTTTGCATAGAACTAGATTAAGCCAGAAAATACTAATTGTCCATATCAAAAAATCAAGGGAAAGAGGTCCACTGCTGTACTGTAGGAATTGCACCAAACATGTTACCTAATCTTTCAATCCTCATATCTTTCTTTTGTAAATTTTAATTAATAGACTTTACTTTGGGGGCAGTTTTAGGTTCGCAGCAAAATTTAGTAGAAAGTATATAGTTTCCATATAACCCCTGTCCCCACACATGTACAACCTCCTCTTAATAAACTTATTGGGTAGATGTGGAAACTGACGCTAGATTAGAATTGCAACTTTGCTTCCTCCAGGTCACAAATCACCTGTAGCTCTCACCTGTATTCCCACAGCTCTCATAGTTCTTTATACCTTACTAGAGTTCCTCATCACTCATCTAGATACAGAGTATATTTATGTGCTTGTCTTTCATTGTACTGTTAGCTCTTCAATGACAGGGATTGTGCCATTCATTTCTGTATCCCTATAGGTAAGAATGGGTAAATATTTTGTTGAATTAAGCATATGAAAAAACTGGGTGAGAATAGCATCAAGAAAGCCAGTAGGGGAAAGAGTTTCAAGAAATGTAAGGATAGTAGTGTCGAATGCTACAAAGAGCCATCGGTACATCCTAAGTCATCATTGACACTGAACTGATATTCTTTATGCATTTATTGAACACCTGCTATATGAAGAACAATGTGTTAAGCACAACAAACATGAAAGGTTTTCCGGGAAGCCGTCATACCTAAAGTCTTGATCGGGAAAACAAATCAAAGAGTTCAGGCCTGAAATTGCCTACACATGTAATATGGCTTTGGGTAAATATGAGGTCAACTTAAAAGGGTTACAGTGCATCTTTAAATAAAACTTCTGATGGGGAACATGAGATGAAAAAGGGCCCGAGCACCTCAGGGTCGGTGAAGACAGCAGGTGGCCAGGAAAGTGGAGTCTCCGGAGTCTCTAGCCCCCAAGCAGGGTTGGGGCTGCCGCCAGCTGCCAGCCTGCGGTGGGAAAAGGCACACACTTACCCCAAGAGCACCGCCAAGGCCGTGGCCCAAAGGGGCCAGGAATTCCTTCGCGAGGCCCCACGCCGTGGGGTCAATCAGAGGAAAGCAGGGATCAGACAGGCAAGTACGACGCCACAGACCGACTTTCCAAACTATATAAACGAGGGTCCCAGAGCCCAGCACCGCGACGCCAACTCCCACCAGCTGGAAGACGGACGACTGCCACCGAACCTTCCGCCGAGAGGATGCACTTCCGCTTCCGGGTCACCCGTAGTGTTCCTTCAGTGCGTTTATTGAAAGTGTGTATTGAGATGCGTCTTCGCTCCCACTGGCTTTTGACATTCCTTTTCTGTCGCTCAACGACTGCGGCAGCAAGGTGAAGATAGGAGGCGACCTCGGGAAAGGAGTCGGCCTGGAGGAGCCGCCTGAAGAAAAAGTGACTGAGCTGAGCACTGCTAGCGAAGGGGTATGATGAGGGCAGTTACGTGTGGGGATTCCCCGCACCCCTGAGAACTCCGAGGGGGCGGGGCTTAGGGATAGCGCAGCCAGGAAGGCGGGTTCCACCCCGGGCCTGATCAGGTGTCGCGCTGCCTCTCGCGTGCGCATGCGCGATGCGGCCCTCCCCCGGTGGCGCTTTCTGCTGCAGCATGGAATTCCGCTCCGCTCGGCAAGCGATACTGCAACTGCTTCGTACCGTGGCACCGGCCGACCTCCCAGCGCTGCTCAAGTGGATGAGAACTACCCGTAAGTGACCAGAGCCAGCGGCAGGCGGCTGAGTCAAGGATATGTTATGGGGACTGACTTTGGGGGCTTAGGCTGAGGCCAAAAGCCCTCCACAGGGTCTCTACTCTGCTACCAGTCAGGTTGAAGGGGGCACATCTCAAACCTTGGCAGGTTCAGAGTCCAGTGTGGGAGTAGGTGCACGAAGATTAAATGCAGGCTCTGTCTGGGTTGTTTGTGATTGCGCTGCAGACTTCAGACAAGCCGCTAGAGGCTCCTTGTGCCTAATCCTTTTTCTGCAGGATAAAAGTGGGGAGGGTAGCCCTCATTGCCCCCCATAACTCCCGCAAACTTGTGACAACCAGTAGCGGACTACCTGAAAAAACACTTTGAAAGGGAAATTTTAGGCTGTAGAGCTGGAAGCTTTCACCCTGCAGGCAAAATCACCTGTAGTCAGTGAATTTATTTTCTCAACAGTACTATGCACCATTGATTTAATGAAACTTGTATGAAGGGGAGAGAAAAAGGGGGTAAAGATTTTTCTTTTTTTCTTTATTGATTTTTTTTTTTTTTTAGAGAGAGAGGAAAGGAGAGGGGGAGAGAGAGATAGAAACATGGATGAGAAAGAACATGGTTTGGCCGCCTCTTGCATGCCCCCTACTGGGAATTTGGCCTACAACCTGGGCATGTGCCCTGACCCAGAATCAAACCAGCGACCTCTTGGTGCATGGGTCCATGCTCAACCACTGAGCCACACCAGCCAGGCTAAAGATATTTACTTTAAACTGTTAACAAAACTAGTAACAGTAGCCCTGGCCAGTGTGGCTCAGTGTGGTTACATCTGCCTCTGGACCTGAGTCCTGGATTGGTTCCAGCTAAGGGCAGGTACGTGGGTTGCAGTTTGTCCTCTCCCGGGTTGGGGTTGTGTGGGTGGCAATCAGTTGATGTGTCTCTCTCACAAAGATGTTTCTTTCTCTCTCTTGCTCCCACTCTCCCTCCTGCTCTATCTGAAGATAAATGCAAAAATTTCCTCGGGTAAGGATTAAAAAAAAAAAACTAGTAACAATAATATTAAAAAGCACAGGTTAGAATCGAGGAAATGTGATAATTAGGTCTAGTTATTGAACAGTGGGATCCATCTATGTACGCAAAGTAAGGCCTGGTGAAGGCACAAGAAGATAGGGTATTGCTTTTGTTTGGGAAGTATGCCAAACCATACTATACCTCTATGCCTCTAAACGTTGATTCCCATGTTTATTTTCATCCAGACTCATGACTTGAAATACCTGTTTGCTAATGACTCCCAATTTTAGACTTCCAACCCTGACTTCTTCCTGGAATTCTCCATGTGATGTTAGAGACAGTCAGTAGATTTGGGTATTATTATTATTGTTATTATTATTGCTATTATTACACACTTGGGGGATCATTTTAGATAAGATGCCTAATTAAAATTAACCTGAACATCTAATACTAAGGTTGTAGCCTGGAAAGGAGAGAAAACCAGAGACTTAGCTTCATATTTATGCACATATGATTTGCAATAGGAATTTCCAAAATGTGCTGAGTCTCCTGTAACTTAATTTAAACCTGTCTTGCTCCATCATATCCCCCCCCTGTTTATAAAACAATGCCAATTTCCATTTGTTTTTGGTTTTGTTTTTTGTTTTCTCTGCATTTCTAAACACAAGATCTTTCGAAAAACCCTGAGTGCCTACAAAAATGCCACCCATTGCCTTGTTCTGGCAACTGCACATATGCTAAATAATCCTTGCCATCAAGATTTCAGTTCTTTGCAACCATTTGTAGTCTAAATCTTGAGTTTTACAGGCATCACATGAGACTCCATTTTTCAAAATCAGGAACATTTCAATGCATGTTTTGGGAGATTAGAATGTGAACAAGAAGACACAGTTTCAGTGGCTAAAAATACATTTTTATTTTTTTTAAAGCACTTTCTCTGCCTTTCTCCAGCAGACCCTGTAGTTAGAGGAGTTCAAGCAGTTTTGTTAAAAAAAAAAAAAAAATTTAGAAAACTACCTGAGTTTCTGAAGAATGTTATTAACATGAATATTTTTAAGTAATTTTTCAATTACAGTTGATGTACAATATTATATTCATTTCAGGGTTGCAACCCAGTGATTAGACATTTGTATAACTTATGAAGTGATCACCCTGGTAAATCTAGTACCCATCTGACACCATACATAGTTATTAAAATATTACTGACTATATTCCCTATGTTGTACTTGACTACATTTCCATTACTGTTCTGCAGCTACCAATTTGTTCTTAATCCCTTCACCTTTTCACCCATTCCCCTATCCCACTCCCATCTGGCAATTGTCAGAATGTTCTGTGTATCTATGAATCTGTTTCTGGCCTGCTTGTTTGTTTATTTTGTTTTTTAGATTCCACATGTAAGTGAAATCATATGGCATTTGTCTTTCTCTGTCTTATTTCACGCAGCACAATACCCTGTCCATCCAGACTGTTGCAGATGGCATGATATTCTTTTTTATAGCTGAGTCATTTTCCATTGTATATGTGTACCACATCATCTTTATTCATTATCTTCCATTGCATATATGTACCACATCTATATTCATTCATCTATTGAAGGGCACTTTGGTTACTTTCATATCTTGGCTATTATAAATAGTGCTGCAATGGACATATGGATATAAACTGTGTGGGGCAAAAGTAGGTTAACAGTTGTTCGTATGGAAAATACATAATAAATAATAATGTGAGAATAAACTGTTTCATATACTCACAACTGTAAACCTTCTTTTGCTCCACCCTGTATGTCTTTTCAATTTAATGTTTGGGTTTCTTCAGATAAATGCCCAGAAGTGGAATTTCTGGGTCCTTCTTTATCTCTTGTTGTAGCCTTTTCCATCCTTTTACTGTCAGTCTGTGTGTGATTCAATCTGAAGTGAGTCTCTTATAGACAGCATATATAAAGGTCTTGTTTAGTTATCCATTCAGCCACACTGTGTCTTGTGATTGGAGCATTTAATCCATTTACATTTAAAGTAATTATTGATAGATATGTAGTTATTGCCATTTTATTCATATTTTTTTATCTTTTTCTCCTTCTTCTTAAAGAAGTCCCTTTAGCCCAGCCAATGTGGCTCAGTGGTCAAGCGTCGACCCATGCACCAAGAGGTCACCAGTTCGATTCCCGGTCAGGGCACATACCCAGGTTGTGGGCCCAGTCCCCAGTGGGGGACATGCTGGAGGCAGCCAATCAGTGTTCTCTCTCATCGATGTTTATCTCTCTGTCCCTCTCCCTTCCTCTGTCTAAAATCAATAAAGAAAAAAACATTTTTTTAAAAAGACTCTCTCTTTGTCTTCAACCATTGGCATTTTAATTATGATGTGTCTTGACATGGGCCTCTTTGGGTTTATCTTCTTTGGGACCCTCTGTATTTCTTGCACTTGTATGTCTATTTCCTTTGCCAGGTTAGGGAAGGGTTTTTTTGTTTTTCATCACTTTTTTTTCAAATGAGTTTCATTTCCTTATTGTCTCTCTTCTTCTGGCACCCCCACGATGCAAATATTGATATGCATGAAGTTGCCCCAGGATCTTTTTAAATTATCCTCATTTTTTTTTTTTTTTTTTCTGTTTTGATTGGGTGTTTTCTGCTTCCTTATCTTTCAAATCACTGAGTTATTCCACTGTTTCATTTACTCTACTGTTGATTCCCTCTAATATACTCTTCATTTCAGTTATTATATTTCTGCATGGTGTTTCTGCGTGGTCATTTCTGACTGGTTCTGGTTATGTTTTCTATCTCTTCACTGAAGTTCTCACTAAGTTCATCTGCTCTTCCTCTTAAGTTCATTGAGCATCCTTATAACCAGTGTTTTGATCTCTGCATCTGGTATATTGCTTGTCTCCATTTTGTTTAGTTATTTTTCTGGAGTTTGTTCTATTTCATTTGGGACATGTTTCTTTGTTTTTTCATTTTGGCTGTATCCTTGTATTTGTTTCTGTGTATTAGGTAGAGCTGCTACATCCCCCAATCTTGGTAGAGAGGTCTCATGATGTAGGTGTCCCATAGGGTCCAGTGGCACAGCCTCCCAGTCACCTGAGCTGTGTGCTCTAAGTGCACTCTCCACCGCCCCCCTTATGCCTGGTGTGGGCTGTGTGCACCTTTCAGTTGTAGTTGAGCCTTGATTGCTTAGGTTGGTCAGCTGCAAGGACTGGCCTCAACCACTGTTGAGGATCTGCTGTGCCTCAGCTGACCCTGTGGAACAAGATTCAGTTCAGTAGGGCTTTGGTCCACCCACTGAGTGTGTCATTTGTGGAGCTGGTGGGATGGTGTTTCTGCGTGGTCTGAAGCTGTCCACTGGGGCCTCCTGGGAGGTGCAGGCCAAGATCATGTGCCACAACAATCTGAAGATGGCTGCTACTTGTGCTAGGCTTGGAGATGCCCAGGAGAGGCGAAGGTGCAAACTGAGGCCAACTGCTGCTAGTGCCAGAACCAGGACCACTTATCAAGAGTTGCAGGTCACGAGATGCTGCTTGTTTGGGATTTGCAAACCTTTGAAAAATTTTAGGGAAGTCTGAAGCATGAGCCAGGACAGGCTGTTTATATGCAAAAGCCACTGGAAATGGCTTGGGTGGGCCCACACATTGGGTGGGACAGGGTCTCAGGGAATCACCAGGGCAGGGTGAACAGTGTTAGCCAGGTAGGTGGAGACTCAGATATGGCACCAGCCTGCCAGCTTTGTGAGGGAAGGGCTAAGCAAAGGAACAATGGCCTCTGCCAACACTTCTGTCTGAGAGAAAGCTACCCCTCCAGCCCTCGCCCAAAGCCAGATAATGCAGTTTCTCCCTGTATGCCCCTGGCATCTTTGGGGCTGCTGTACCAAGGGCTGGAGCTCACAGTGAATGAGTCTGAGTAAGTCCATGCACAGGCCCTTCAAGAGGAACGCCTGAGACTCCAGCAACCTTCTTCTCACTCAGCTACAGCCCCCACTGGTTTCATAGCCAGAAGGTATGGGAACTTCCT